TGCCCTGGCGTTTCCAGTCCTCTGCCCAAAATCCTCGGCCAGGCCCCACGTGCTCCGATCGCCATTCCTACGGGTATGGGACACTGCGCGGGGCGTGTGGTTGTGTATGACATCCAGGGAATGATTGTTACCCTTTCGAACCACAGTCTTTCGGCACTGGCAAAACACGCTTGGAAACTGACCAGTCACGACAACACAAATTGCCAAATACAGATGCAGCCAAAATCCGAAAAGGTGCACTCTGTTGAGGTACAATGCAGGCTATGCCCCCAAGAAAGAATACTGACCAGTGCCATGAATTAAAGGACACAAACAGCTTCCTCAAATACGCTTCCATCCCCACGCGACAGTGATCCCACTTCCTGCTCTGAAAACTTAGGACGAAGATCGTAACACCATACGAGATTGACATGACGAAGACAAACACTCGCTTCCCCTATCTCCTCGCCCTGCACCCCTTCTGTGACAAAAATACAAAACTCACGCATTCCCCCTTCATCTATATGCCGTCCTGGTGCATCCCCATTCCCCCCTGCAAACTAAGCCCATGCTCCCACGGCCCCCTTCATCCTGCGGCCTTGCTAGCCCCAGCTATACTCGCAAGACAACACTACGGTCGGACACTCCATATTGAATCTGCCTTGACATCTAGCGATGTCTTGAAAACTGCCCACACTGCTGTTTCCTCCTCAAGGCAAAGGGCTTGACAACTTCTGATGGCTCCAAAATTGGCCAGACTGCTGCTTCCTACTCAAAGTGAAGTTGCTCGACATGTGCTAATGCCAGTCCGAACCTCCACTATGACGACACTGACAGAACCGGCACAATCTCGTTCAAGTGGCCAGCACTAGTTTCTGAGCTTCTGCCTACCCTGGCCACTGTGGATTTGTAGGAGTTAGCTCAGGAGGTTTGGAAACTCCCACCCTTCGGCCATGGCTGACGCTACGTATGTCACTAACGAGGAGATCAACAACCATACTGTCCGCCATCATCTCCCTACGATGTCTTCGCGCCCCTCCTACACATTCCTCAGATGCTCATGCCCTCTCTCTCTCTCTCTCTCTCTCTCTCTCTCTCTCTCTCTCTCTCTCTCTCTCTCTCTCTCTCTCTCTGTGCCCCTTGAGAGAGAGAGAGAGAGAGAGAGAGGGTAAGTCTCCACGGGCGCAAGTGGCAAGGAGCGCTTTAGGAGACGTGCCACCCATCTACCATACCAATGGCGATTACCATGTCATCACTGCTCCCCCCTCTGCTCCCCCCTCT